AAAAAAAACTGGACCAAATGGGTATCATGATTAAGAATGATATACCACATATTTAGGTCACAGTGAATGAATCTTAACTGAGTGGGGAGGTTTACAGGCATAGACATGATTTGCTTTTGAAGTGTTCTGTAAATGAAAAAAATAGTAGAAAGATTAAAAGGTTACTGGTAATTCTAAAAAAAAAAAAAATAATAAGACTGCTTCTTAGTCCTTTGGACTGAACACGAAATTAATTACATTGCTTTCCAGGTCTACAAGAGAAATTAGAAATATCAGACGCTAAAAAAAAAGTTGTTCCTGAAAGAATCAGGTTGTAGACCCATAAAATGTATAAATGAGACAGCCAGTGCTAAACAAATGGAAGTAAAAACCGTTATCAAACAATCAAGAGAACACGTTCTGATACAAAAAAGAAAGTACTCCAAGGACATTAAAGCATTTTATTGAACATCCTTTATAATTAAGATTAATATACACATTCCTCTCGTTAATCTTTATTAATAAAAATTAGGTTAAACAGCCTATAAATGTGATAACCACAGATCCATTACCTGCCACAATTCCCTGACTGGCGAGCACCATTATAGCCGTTAAACCGACACTGAAAATAGCACTTTGACCAAAGTTCAGCATAGCCAGAGTAGAGGTACTTTTCAATGAAGCAGTCTCATATGTCTTCAAAAATCCATCATATCTCTGTGCTTCATATTTTTCATTATTAAAATACTACAAAATATATAAAAATGATAACTATGGGCAAACATAATTGGAATTTATTCTCTTAAGTGATTAGTATACTTTTCATCAGACTTCATGTATGGATACAACTTTGTACTGCAAACTCTATTTTAAAAATTGACTTTCAATATATTGGACTATGACACACCTTCAGTTTTCCACAATGGATTGTATTTGAAAAGTACACAAAATTTATCCAACGAACATTTACTAAATGCTTAGCTAACTCAAACCCAGATTTTAAAAAAGTCTTCAATGATGCTTCCTTCACAAAGCCTTCCCCTGGGACTCTGAACTAACAGTTCCCCCTGCCTTTAGCATATTATGCCTTCTTGTCTAGTCACCTGCACACGTCAACTCTCCCAGCAGATTATAAAATTCTGGGAGTGCAGAGATTACACAGTAATCATGTTTTTTATCACCCTCCCCCATCAAGGCACTTAGCATAGTGCTTTATATATAAGAGGCATTCAGTAACTATTTGTTAAATGGAAAAATGAACAAATAAATGAAAGAATCAATGAGACGTACTATGTTAAGCACTCTGACAGTCAAGAATTTATATGCCAGTTTAATTAGCTTAATGTTCATTCTGAATCAAGATGCTATCCGTATACGGTCATATGACATTTAACGACAGAGAAACATTCTAAGAAATGCATCATTTAGGTGATTTCATTGTGCAAACATCACGCTGTACTTACACAAACCTACATTGGTACAGCCTACTATACACGTAGGCTATATGGTATAGCCTATTGCTCCTAAGCTACAAACCTGTATAACATGTCACTGTAATGAATATTGTCGGTCATTGTATAAAAGATAAAAAATGGTACACTTGTAGAGGCACTTACCATGAGTGGAACTTGTAGGACTAGAAGTTGCTCTGGGTGAGTCAGTGAGTGAATGATGAGTAAATGTCAAAGCCTAGGACATTACTGTACACTACTATAGACTTTATAAACACTGTACATGTAGGCTATGCTAAATTTATAGAAAATATTTTTCCTTCTTTAATAATAATCTTAGCTTACTATACCTTTTTTACTTTATAAACTTTTTGACTCTTTTGTAATAACACAGCTTAAAACATACATTATATAGCTGTACAAATTATTTTCTTTTGTATCCTTATTCTATAAGCTTTTTCTCTTTTTAAAATGTTTTATTTATTTATTTTTACTTTTTAAACCTTTTTGTTAAAAACTGAAACACAAATGCACAGGTTAGCCTAGGCCGACACAGTGTCAGGTTCGTCAATATCACTATCATTCACCCCCACATCTTGTCTCACTGGAAACGTCTTCAGGGGCAATAACAGGCATGAAGCTGTCATGTCTTATGATAACAATGCTTTCTTCTGGAATACCTCCCTGAAGGACCTGCCTGAGGCTGTTTTACAGTTAACTTTTTTTTTTAATAAGTAGAAGGAGTATGCCCTAAAATAACAACAAAAAGTATAGCACAGTAAATACATAAACCAGTTACACAGCTGTTTATTATCACTATCAAGTATTATGCACTGTACACAATTGTATGTGCTACACTTTTATGACTGGCATCTATGCAGTAGGTTTGCTTACACCAGCATCACTACAAACACGTGAATAATGAGTTGCACTAGGACATTACAATAGCTATGATGTTACAGTGGCTACGATGTCACTAGATGATAGGAAATTTTCAACTCCATTATTATCTTGTGGGACCACCACGATTGCGCATGCTGCCCGCTGTTAACCAAAATGTTATGTGATGCATGACTGTATTTATGAGCAGTTATAAATTAATTCCGAAGGTAAAATCTGATGGTGCCAAACAAAAACTGAGGAGGTAAAATGGGTAATTTCTAAACAATTATTCTATCACACCTAGAAATCCTATCCTAATCTGAATCTCTAACTTACAGCACCTATTAAATTAAATGGCAGAACAAATCTTAGTGCAGTGTAAAAGGCAGAGGAAAGTATAATTAAACATATTACCTTCACAGTTTCATAATTCAGCAGTGAGTCTATAGCAGCATTACCTGCATCATTATCTGCTTTGTTCATCTCTATTCTAAATCTAGTTCTGTAAGACAAAGATTTGCACAGGTATGAAATGTATGTTATAAAAGCATAACTAGTTTCTAAAGCTTGGCTGGCCTCTGGGGAATACCTTACCTCCACCGCGTGACTGCAACTGTAAAGGCTGTGTATGCACCGAGGGTTCCGAGGGTTACCAAAGCAAACTGGGCGCCACATTTGTAATACTGGAAAAACATGTCAAAGAAAAAGTCATTGTTCTTGCCAAACAGTTTAGAATACACAACAGCAAATCTCAGTCAAAATATTTTAATAAAAATATGATGGTGAGAAATTATATATGTAAGTAATAGGTGAAAAATCAAATACCTTAGAAAATCTACTTTAGGTAACAAGGGAAGGAAGCCGAACTGCACTTGCCACATTGATACTACCATCAAATGCTAATAATAAAATAGTATAATAAGCATAAAGAAGAATTTTAAAAATCTACTTTTAATTATAAATAATGAAATTGCCTAAAGTGTTACGAACGGTGAATAGAAACAGATATTCTGAGCATATCAGTCAAATGTCACACACAGAAATCTCTGCTAAAAAAAACCTTGCAAGTACTAGTTAATGATGATCTATGTGTAGAACTGAACAGTTCTTTATAATAACATGATAAATAATTTGGACAGTCCCTTGAAGCTTGTGGCAAAATAATTAAACAAACTGCATAATCTTCCTGACATCATGAAATTTTGCTTTCAAACCCATGGGCATGCAACAGTACAATAGCTTCAAATACTCAGTGCTACTAATGAGAATGTAAGATAAAAGCTTATTATGAAAAATGTTTTACTTACCAAAACACCGCTGACAAGCATCACCTCAAACATGATGGGAAGAAGATTAAATACCAAAGCACTCAGGACAAAACTGATACCCCTTGTTCCTCTGTCAATAGCTTTAGATAAAGCTCCTGTCTGTCTGCTCAGGTGGAAACCCAGATCCAGGGTGTGAAGATGGAGAAAGACATTTTTGGCTATTCTTCGGATTGAATTTTGGGCTACCTTGCCAAATACTGCATTTCGAACTTCGTTAAAAAAGGCAGCTCCAGCTCTTGATACGCCATCTAATGATACAGTCAGGAAAAAAAATGGGTTGTAAAAATATTGGAATCATAGGAGTGTAAAACTGGCAAGGGCTCAGAAAATGTCTGTACGATGAATAATTCAGTGAATGAATATATAACAGAATATTTACACTAAAAGAAACCTAGAAATCATCTAGCCTAATGAGTACCAACCTTTCCACCACCATGAATCTCATTCAGTGTTATTTTTCCCTAGATTTCAGACATTAAAAGATTTCTTCCAATTAGAATACTTAAATAATAGTCCATATGGCCTTACTGTGGAAAAACGTATGGTATCTATTAAGGTTTTTGATCTAATCTAATTCCCCCAAGTTACGAATGATAAAATTAAGATCCTAAAAAAATCAAGTGCCCTCACTCATGTCTCCTAAATCTCATAAAGTGTCCTTTCTAATGCATGGGGACACACAGCATTCATATTCTGTTCTAATTTTTTTCATGGCTGTTGAGTATATTTTAATAAATATTAATGTACATATATATTGTTATTTAGCTATTTCCTATTTAACAGCTAATACTAGGAGCAAGAAAATAACTGGCCTTACGGAAAGGGATCTCATAAAAAGCCTAACTATTAGAGATGGTTGTTATGAATTTAATGTCTTATTTCATATTATTATTTCCTATAACTTGGAAAATGCTACGATTATCATGGAATTTTTGAAAATTATATCATACAAAGAAATTAAGAAAAAACATATCAAAAAAGATCTCGCATAAAACAATAAACATCCAAAATGCTAAGCTGTGTTTGTGGTGAAAAGGTCATCTGTTCAAATATGATGAAACCTTCCTGAAGAAAGTCAACACCTGTAGACAGATTAAAGAATCACACATACAGCCAATCAGAACTGCTGTTGCCATGGTTGCAACTGTATTCGGTGCATCACTCAGGTTCAGCATGTTTCCCGACATCTGGTTGAGGCTATCTACAGCATATTTAAACATGAAGGGGACCACAATATTCATGGCCTAAAAACAAAACAACATCAATTACTCATTATATGCAAAATATATATTTATAAAAGTACAAATATTTATCTCCAATCAGTATTTATGGTAACATTTAGATATTTGTCATTTACTGGTATTAGAATGATTTTCCCAATTTACAAAGATAAAATCTTTGGCTTTGCAGAGCTATCATTTCAGGATTTCTATATCACATGGCCATGTTAATATTCATTTACAAGCTATGTAAATTAGTCAAACGCTCCCACTTCCATGAAATCATCCCTGATCAGCCACTCAAAAATGCTCTCTCCATTATCTGAAATCCTACAGAGCACATGGAACTTACGACAAACTGTCTTATTGTTGTTTGTGTGTGCATTTTCTTTTCCTACTAGAGCCTTGAGAGTCTGTATCATATTACTCTTTTTGTTCTACCCATGCTGAGCATAATGCTTTGTATACAGTAGATATTCAAAAAATATTTTTAAGATGATTTATTCACCAAAATAATGGTAAAACTGAAATTATATAGCAAAAAGGATTGCACGTGCAGATAAATTACAAGTATCTGTGGCTGATTCACTTTTGGAAAAAAAAAAACACATCTATTTGCACCACAAAAAGATTCTTTGCCCAATAACACACCAAAAAGAGCCCAATGAATATCAAACTAAGCTTTCAATAATGAACCTATTTTTCCATGAGAATACATCAAAAGAAAATTTAAAAAGAAAATTTTAAATACATACTTTCCTATAGTCAAGGCAAATATTTAATCATTCACATTTTACATTTTCTGTAGTGATAGTATCGAAAACATCAACCATCATTTAGGAACAGGAAGTTTGTTAGATGCCACGGTTTTCCTTAAAGAAATTAAACTGATACACATAAATAGCATGTGAAAACAGTTCTATAAGGCTTAACAAAAACACTGAAATCTCAGCTCTTATTAGTGTTCCATTGTTAAGCCATCCATTTCTGTTAAACATAAGAATTTACTGTCAACAAGTCTAAGTTTAGCCAGAACTGATAGAAGCTATGTAACTCTTACCAATCAAGATTTCAAGGTAAGGTATACAAGAGTCTTAGCAACCAGTCAGGTGTTCTAACATTCAACAATATCATTAAAATACATAGCAGATACTGGGATGCTTTTAAGAATGTAATATTATGAGGTAAACTGCCTAAACATTAATGTTTCAAAATATAATCTAACAATATATGGCAGGTCCCAAATAGCATAAATGTCTCAATTCTGATTCCCTTATAACCATATAACCTCAGGCTCTCGCTTCTGCTCGAAATGGCCTCCCCTCCCCTATCCACCTCTCCACTCTTCAAAGCCCAATTTGAATCTCATTTCTATCATAATGCCTTCTCTGAAACTTGTATTCAATTTGGCAGTCTCTATTTTCCTTTTTTTTTTTATTTCAGCATATTATGGGGGTACAGATGTTTAGGTTACGTGTGTTGCCCTTGGTTCCCCCCCCCTCCAAGTCCGTGTTTCAAATATGTCCATCCTTCGGGTAGTGCACATTGCACTCCTTGTGTATACAAATACCCGTCTCCTTCTCCCTCCTCCCCCCTCCTCCCGCCGCCCTCCCCCTTCCCCAGCATCCAATAGATGTTGTTCTGATATGTGCATTTATGTGTTGATTAGTTAATACCAATTTGATGGTGAGTACAAATGGATCCCGTTCTTCTGCTCTTGTGGTGCCCCACTTTGGATAATGGGCTTAAGTTTAATCCAGGAAAGTGTAAGAGGTGCTAGATCACTGTCATTTCTTATGATTGAGTAATATTCCAATGTGAACATATACCATATTTTGATAATCCACTCATGGATTGACGGGCACTTGGGTTGTTTCCACATTCTTGCAATAGTGAATTGTGCTGCCATAAACATTCGGGTGCAGATGTCCTTATCGTAGAATGTTTTGTGCTCTTTTGGGCAGATGCCTAATAGTGCTATTGCTGGATCGAATGGTATTTCTATTTTTAGCTCTCTGAGGTATTTCCAAATTCTTTTCCACAGAGGTTGCACTAATTTGCAGTCCCACCAGCAGTGTAGAAGTGTTCCTGTCTCTCCACATCCTCGCCAACATTTGTTGTTTTGTGTTTTTTTGATCGAGGCCAATCTCACCGGGGTTAGGTGATACCTCATTGTGGTTTTGATTTGCATTTCTCTAATGATTAGAGATGTTGAGCATTTTTTTATATGTTTGCTGGCCATTATTCTATTTTCCATCTCTTATCTTTTGGTTATAGTTTATGCCTCAATATTTATCATCTTTATGATATATTTCTCACTCACTTTATATGTATATATGCATGGATATACCGCCTTCTTAATGTACAAACCTTTCGTGACAAAACAAACATTTAGTGAACAACAGCTGTATCAGTCAGGTATGGTGCTAGGTACCTTTCATAAAGGTGAGGGCGGAAAGAAATAGTAATTCTACAAAATGGGTATTATCTCTACCGTTGAGGAAACTCAGGTTCCCTGACGTTTAATTACTTGTCTGGTAAGCAGCAGAGCTGAGACTAAAATCCAGATCTGGCTGATCCGAAGGTAGTGAGTTATCTCACTTGATTGTTCAGAGTCAGTTACAGCTTTAACTCCTGTTCTACTACTTTCCCCCCACTCCTCACTACTGCACGTGACTACTCTTAAAAACAAAACAAAACGAAATCCAGATCTGACACCTGAAGTCGGAATTTTTCCTAGTATATCAGCCATATTAGCAGTTTACATACATTTTACTTCTTTTGCACTCTAAAATGGATACTCTCAATTGCACTGTTTAAACCAGCTACAGTTGTAAAATATGTCACAAGTAATTTAAATAATTTGAGCAGACTCCTGGTTTTCCACATAAGTCCACATTCCCTCACCTGCATTCCAATACACTTTCTTGAGTAGGAGAAAAAGCGATAGTTACAACTAGCATTCAATTCAATTCTCGTAACTCACACTATAGCCACAGCTATAGTGAGTGATGACTGAAACTAATGTATCACCGATGAAGTTGTGCCATTTTACTTTCTTGAAAATGTTTTTGAGTTTAGTCACATTTGGGAGCATCCCTGTGTATAGAACACGTGAATGTCATCCGTCCTGTGTTGTTACTGGCAGAAAAAGGGCAATTAGCACAGTGCTAAAACATGGTACTACCTCTAAATAATAACTGCATACTGTCAGTTTTACCATAAAAGTAATTTTAAAAAGGAAAGAAATATACCATATGTATTAAAAAAGGAAAGAAATACACTAAAGAAATAGGATTATATTACGTGTAGATGTTCTTATTAATATGTATGTGTAGGTTTCACTGGCCTTGTGATATTTTGGGGCAGGGGTGGCAAATACTAGTTTCCCCCAATATCCCACCTTCAGCAGAACTAGACTTAAGCCATCCCAAATGAGAATATGTTTTTAAAACTTTTAATTGTGAAATAATTATAGACTCACAGGAAGTTGCAAAAGTAGTATGGAGACCCATGTACCCTCTCCTTAATGACATCTTATATAGCTGTAGTTCAGTATCAAAACCAGAAAGTTAACATTGGCACACTACTGTTAACTAGACTACAGAACTCACTCAGTTTTCACCATTTTTAAACCTGTACTCGTGTGTATGTGGGGGCAGGTATATGACTGTTTACATGGTTCTATGAAATTTTATCCTATGTACAAATTTGTGTAACCACCACAATCAAGATACAGAACTATTCCACCACCACAAAAGAACTCCTTTGTGCTACCACTTTATATTCACTCCCATTCTATCCTGTCTTACCCTAGTCCTTGTGCCCTGGCAACCACTAATTTGTTCTTGATCTCTATAGTTTAGTCATTTTGAGAATATTTTAATATTATAAATGGAATCATATAGTATTAATAGCTAATCTTTTGAGACTGGCTTTTGTTTCACTCAGAATAATGCCCTTGAAGTTCATCAGAGTTGTGGCATGTATCAAGAGCTCATCCTTTTTTATTGCTGACTATTATTCTATAGATTATTTATTCAACCATTATTCAATTCATTCCATGGACTATTTATTCAACCATTCACTCTAAAGGACATTTTGTTTGTTTCCAGTTTTGGGCTATTATGAGTAAAGATGTTATTAACATTCTCATACAGGCAGACATAAGTTTTCATTTCTCTGGATAAATTCCCAAAAGTCCAATTGCTAAGTCATATGGCAAGTCTATGTCAAACTTTTTAAGAAACTGCTACACCCTTTCCAGAATGGTTGTACCATTTTACAATACCAACAAAACATGAGTGATCCAGTTCCTCTGCATCCTCACCAACACGTGCTATCATTTTTTTTTATTTTGAAACTGTTCTAATAGGTGTGTAGTAATATCTTATTGTGGTTTTAATTTGCATTTCCCTAATGGCAATAACGTTGAGCATCTTTTCATGTGTTTATTTGCAATTTGTATCTCCTCTTTGGTAAAATATCTGTTCAAAGTCTTTTGTACATTTTATAATTGGATTGTTTTTCTGCTGTTGAATTTTAAGAGTTTCTTAATGATATAAGGGCTCTGTTACATATGTGGTTTAGAAATATTTTCTCCCAGTCTATTGTCTTTTATCCTACCAAGGAGCCCAAACTCCCACTCCACTCAGCAGTAATGAGGAACCCCCTCTCCTTGGAGTCAACGGAGGCTGAAGTGGGAACCTGGACTTTCATCCCCACCTGCAGTAATGAGGCAGCACCCCTAATTCCACTGAAGCAGTATCATAAGGAGGCCGGCTAAAGAGAAGATTCACATAAGATCCAGAGTCCTATAACATAATATTCAACATGTCCAGATTTCAATAAAAAATTATCATTTCAAAAATCAGGAAGATATCAATTTGAATAATATAATCAACAGGTACTAATACTGAGGGGACACAAATATTAGAACTGTCTGACAAAGAAATCAGAGCAGCCATCATAAAAGCACTTCAAGGAACATTTATGAACATGCTTGAAATAAGTGAAAAAAATAG